AACCTGCACCACTAACCACCTTTTATAACACTATTTTTATGGGAAAATGTGCTCCTAATTCTGTGCCACTGCTTTACAGCAGAGCTTTTAGGAGGAAACTATTTTCAGTGTAGAGACCTACTTGCCCCAGATTTATTTGCTAATTACTTTTAAAATCTCTATTAGTGCAGCCGGTGCTGTGGGGCAGCAGATAAGGCCGCCACTTGTGATGCCAGTGTTCCACACGGGCGCCGGTTCATGTCCTGGCTGCTCCACTTCCAGCCCAGCTCTCTGCTAATGGACTGGGAAAGGCAGCAGAGATGGGCCAGATGTTTGGGCCCCTGCTACCCACATGAGAGAACTAGAAGAAGCTCCTGGCTTCAGACTGGCTCACCTCTGGTCATTGCAGCCCTCTGGAGAGCAAACCAGAGGATGGAAGATACCTCTCTGTCTCTGTCTCTCCCTCTCTCTCTGCATCTCAAATAAAGTAAAATTTTTTTAAAAAAAATTCTTTTATTTTGTAGATTACAAACCTGTGAAGAGATCCTTTGGCTTATGTTTCCTTTGTTAACCCAGGACGCAAAGGATTTGCGAGACTGGAAGGATCTCAGATTGGCACCTAATTATTGAATGAGTATTCCTTCTCTTAATGGTTGAGCTGGCTGCAGTTGCCCAGGGATGGGGCAGTTGTGCTAGTGACTCGTCGTCTCCCCCAGCTTTCCTCCTGGCACCTCACTGCAGTAGTTTGCATATGCCAGGGTATTTCATGGGAAAATGGAATTAAAAGATGCACTTATTTTGGTGCAAAAATTATGAGATCCATGCATAGTTTTTCCATAATATGCATCTGTATGAACCTTTTGAAGACTCTTCTGCATGGATTTCAAAAAAAATTTTTTTGCACCAAACTTGCAATTTATTTTTCATAAGCTTTCTAAAGTGCCCTTGTAGTTTGAGGGCCCCCAAGGCTTCATTGTTGAGGTTTCATCCCCACTGTGAAGTGCGGAGAGGGTAGAAACAGAATCTGACTGCGGTGTTTGGAGGGAAGGCATTTGGGAAATGACTGGCATCAGATAGGATCCGTAGGGAGGGTCCCTATGGGTGAATCCTCTTCATAAGCATATGTAGGGAGACACAGATCCACACACATGCTCCCTGTCTCTTGCTGTGTGCTACCTTGGATTCTGCCAGCAGGAGGACCATCACCAGATGAGGCCCCTAGAAACATGAACCAACACAAACCTCTTTTCTTTATAAGGATCCTGCCTCAGGCGTTCTGTTAGAACAACAAAAAAGCACCAGTGTGGCTCAATAGGCTAATCCTCCTCCTGCGGCACCAGCACCCTGGGTTCTAGTCCCGGTTGGGGCGCTGGGTTCTGTCCTGGTTGCTCCTCTTCCAGTCCAGCTCTCTCCTGTGGCCTGGGAAGGCAGTGGAGGATGGCACAAGTGCTTGGGCCCTGCACCCGCATGGGAGATCAGGAGAAGCACCTGGCTCCTGGCTTTGGATCGGTGCAGCACACCGGCTGTGGCGACCATTTGGGGGTGAACCAGCGAAAGGAAGACCTTTCTCTCTGTCTCTCTCTCTCTCACTGTCTAACTCTGCCTGTCAAAAAAAACAAACAAACAAACAAACAAACAAACAAAAAAAAAGAATAACAAAAAAGCATGGGCTAATAACACTCATTTCTTTTCCCAGCTATTGAGAGAGGGTTTCAGAAAGAATTCTTGGTTTTAGGGGTGTGCACTTATTTACCCCACACCTTTACAACTTCACTGAGGTCAGGGTGAGGTCAAGGCCAGGTCTTTTAGTCCTGAAGCTCCCCTAGCATTCGGGGCAGTTTCCTGATAATCTGGAGAAGGCGCTTGGCTAGACTATGTGTGATGGCAAGGGGGGGTGATGGTCTTGGCCAGCTGAGTTTGGAAATGGTGTAAAAGCGAGGAATCCACAGCCTAACTGAGATGGTATTTCCTTTGCGACAGGCAAAGACTCTGAAGTGAGAAGCTCACCTTGCCTGGGTGAGGGTGGGGGGGTACAGATTTCAACCTGCTTGATAAGAGGCTTCTGGGCCACGGAAGGGGTAGAACACGCTGGTCTCTGTTAGATTTGTCACCTAGGTTTGATGGCCATTTCAGTCTCCTGGGAGGATGGTGCAAAATAGCCTTTTTTGAGCCCCTGGACCTGGAGCAACGATCTTCGCCCTTCTCTGGGTCAAGATTGCTTGGTGAACCAGGCTACGGTGGTCCTCTCCCACAACGCTTCGCAGTGAAATGCAGGGGTTTCTACACCCTATGAGACTTACCGTGAATCGTCTAGGGGTCTGCGCTCATAATATTAAGATCCTCTGGCATACACTCCAAGCCATGCAGCTCAACAGGTGCTCAGGATTTGGTCAAAGACGTTTAAGAAGAGCTAGAGAGCAGGAGGCCTTAGCGGGCGGGGCAGGAAACAGCAATTTCTTGGTTTGGGGCTCTAGAAAGAAACTCACTGAGAACCTTTACAGAGAGCAGGTATCTGCCGGCGCATGAGCATTTCACAAAATGTGTGGAAAGTAGAATGAAAAGATTAAGTTTATTTTGGTGCAAAAATATTTGAAATCCACACGTACAAGGGGTCTTCAAAAAGATGGTGGGAAATATACATTATGAAAAAACTGTGCATGGACCAAAATAAACTTACTATTTAAAAAATGCAACTTTCTCATGAGCTTTATGAAGTACACCTGTACATAGGCAAGCGAAACCAGAGGAGGCAGGCCGGCATCAGGCATCTAGCTCTGAATTACAGAAACCGGCGTCTCTCTTCTGCTCTTAGGCATTCTTCCACTTCCACGCCTCACCTCCTCTCACGGCAGAAAGTCATGCACAGGAATAAATTTATGGGTCTTATCCAGAGGTCTTTAAGTAAACAGTGCTGCCCGGCCTTTCAGTTACCCAGAGGAGTTTGACTTCAGGCCCCAGGGAGGAAGCTAATGACTTGTAGTTACTTTGCTATTGTTTTCCGAAAACAATTTGACTTCCTTTCTGATAGTCTCCGAATTCCTCCTTTACAAATTCAACACTGGGAGCCCAGAAGGGCTGAGCTGGCCAGCTAGAGCACAGGCTCTGGGGCAAGACTGCCTGTCTGAGCAAGCTGCGGGATTCTTGGGAGGAGGGTGGCCGGCCGGGCAGCTCTGGGAAGGGGGTCACAGACTTTGTGAACCCCAGGGCCCTCTGCCACTCTGCCTCTTTCATCACATCTCACCTCCAGCCCAGAACGTGTAAGAGTCACTAAGAGATGTGATGTCCACAGAACACGTTTGCAGGGACTGCTTTATTCCCACCATCTTACAGATGAAGCTGAGGCTCAGGGACTCGCCTTAGAGTGCACATTGAATAAAGGACAGGGTGGAGATTCTACCTCGAGTCTTCTGAGTCGTGTCAGGCCTTCTCTCTAACAAAGAGAGGCATCTGTCCAGAGCTGGTGGACTTTGGACTGTCCTCTGAGAACTGAGTCTCCGTGTTAGATAAGAATCCACACTTGAACCTCACCGGATATGACACCGAAGTGATGGACCCCATCCCTTCTCTCTCCTCTCTGTGCACTTCAAAGCTGGGGTTGGGTTGGGTCTGGCCTTGGAGATGCTGTTTTTGAACCTAGTGCTTCTGATAGGGGTTCTCACAGTCCCTTTTTGCCACAACAAAAGCTCCCCATGGCTGTCTCTGGAAGTAGGGTGAACCTCGCCGACTCTTTCTTGACTTTTAAGAATGGTGCTTCGGGGAACTTTTGTTTTTGAAGGGAGTTAGGCCTTCTCGTTTTGTTACTGTCCGCCACCACCACAGCTTTCTACTACCTCCGCAAGTAGAAGGGAACCTGGCGGCACGCTAGCTCTTGCACACAGCACACTTGAGCACTCCCTGCAGTGCACTCTAGTTATCCGTGCACAGAGCTCTCTCTCCAACCACGAGGGGCATCAGGGCCCAACTTGTGTCGCATTGTCCTTGCATGCAGTTTGTTCTTAGTGTATGTTCACTGAACTTATGATTAGTGTATGAATTCCTCTGCAAATCAGAATGTGTCCTCCAGATCCTGAGAGCAGGACAAAGGTGAGGACAGTGCAAACTCCTGGGAGAAGTTGCCATGGGTTGTCAGGTGGAAAGGGAAAGGGAGATGTGAGTGTGCCAATCTGGAGGCTTTGCTCAAAGGAGGCAACGACGGAGGGAGTAATAATTATAGCTGCAATAATCATAACACTTTCCAAAGTACCCTCTCATCTATTATTTAACTCTGATCTATGGACTAGATGCATAATTCATTGCATGATGTATCTATCCATCTATATATGAATGGATATGTATGTATAAATGGATATATGAAGGGACTTCAGAAAGTTTGTGAAACTGGAACTCTCATTTATTTTGGTACAAAAAATTTTGAAATCCATACATAGCTTTCTCATAATATGCAGTTTCCAAGAACATTCTGAAGGCCCGTCATATTGTGCATTATATTAGAGCTGAAACAGTATTTATTTAACACTCACTACTTGACAAACATGATGTGGATCACAATCAATCTTCATAGCCAACATAAACATCTGATAGATACTATCATTATTTTAAAAGTGACAAGCATATAGCATAAAACAGAGCAGCCAAATGGTAGCCAAAATCTGAATTCTAACACGCATAACCACAGGTTATTTGCCCTGAGTCTTGTTCATTCTACCTTGAGTATTTGGCTGTCTGCATGTGAAACTAACTTTGTAAAAGTCAGGGAAAAGTCTTAATTTCTTAAGTGTTTCCAATTAATAATAACTAAGTCTGAACATCAGTGTCTGGATTATCAAGGGTTTGTCCCTTTAGTTACACAAAGGAATACTTCTATTTCAGACTGCCTTGTCTGACAGCATCCAAGTTAGAGGCATATTTGTTAGAAAGCTTCTTGATTTTCTATCTTATGGTTGTTGCCAATACACCACCCAGTACCATATTTTATTTCATTTTATTTTTTTATTTATTGAACATATAGAGTTAGAGTGCGCGCGCGAGAGAGAGAGAGAGGGAGAGAGAGAGAAAGATCTTCCTTCCGTTGGTTCACTCCCCAAATGGCTGCTATAGCTGGAACTATGCCAATCTGAAGCCAGGAGCCAGGTGCTTCCTCCTGGTCTCCCGTGTGGGTACAGTAGCCCAAGCACCTGGGCCATCCTCCACTGCCCTCCCAGGCCACAGCAGAGAGCTGGACTGGAAGAGGAGCAACCGGGACTAGAACCCAGCACCCATATGGGATGCCAGCGCCACAGGTGGAGGATTAACCAAGTGAGCCATGGTGCCGGCCCCCCAGTACCATGTTTTAGATCTGACTAAAAACATCTCTCAAAATCAAGGACAAGCGAGTCTTTTTTACTCCTTTTGTGATGGGTAGGTGGATGTGGACCAAAGGTGCATACTTTGTTAGACAGGAAAGGAAGGTGCTCCAGGTATGCACTACAAACTACACCTTGCTGATAATTAGACTGATAAATGAGACTTAGTCTTCTTGCTTTCAAGGATTTCCCTCTGGATTTGGAGGGCAAATGGCATCCCAAGATCTCCAGGGAGAAGGTCTTGTTTTTTGCTGAAGGATGAAATCCTCTTCTTGGGATTCTCACCTCACTGTTGCCTTTATTCCTTGACTTCAGTGGGGGAAAAAGAAGTTAGGCATGGCTGGTACTGGGTTCTTCCTCTTCCTCTTCTTACGTCCTTGGAGGCCATTGACCCAAGCCCAGCACAAGAGTTCTTAAGCCTGGGATTCCAGAGGAGCCTCTCTGCCTTAAACCCAAGAAGAGACATAGTTATGACCTTGACCTTGTCTTTGGGATTACAACTTGAGATACAATGGGAGTAGACCCATGGACCAAAGCAAGGAAATCTTTGTTTCTTTTGCTTTCTGCTTCTTGGAACAATGTTCTTGCCCTTTTCAGCTGCTATCTGGAATATAAGTCTTAAAAGGAACGGCTTCTGTCTGCAGTGTCTGCATCTTAACCAGCAGGAGAGTGTGACCTCATCCCACTAACCAGGGCTCCAATTACCCATTTATGCCCTCCAATGATGCACGGGGGACTCATTGCTGGTGCAATTAGATGTTGACAGAAATTATTTGCCCGTGTTATCATGTAGGCTGGGAGGGAAACAGTGCTTAAAACATCTGGACCACAGTGTCTTGGGAAGGAAACTCGTAGAGTCAGAGATTCATTGGGTAGAGGAGACATTGAAAGGTCTCTTCATTTGCCCCCTTGCCTCAAGAGAGAAGAAACAAAGAAGGAATTTTCAAGATGCCACTTTTAACAGATTTGTGGAGAAGGGGATTGTGTCTCTTGGAAATCTCAGGCAATGCTGAATGAGCCACCTTCAGGATCACGGCCAAATACACTCTCTCCTGCTGGGGCTGGAGCACGTTCTCCTTGTTCCACCTGCATGTCTGTGTGCTCCCACCTGGAAAGCCCTGGGCCCTCTTCTTGGGTGCCCGCGGATTTGATGAGAATTTCCTCTACAGCTGCGGGGAGAAATTGCCTGGCTTTTGGCACCAGACAGACCTTTCCCCTACTTCCTGAGTAATCTTGAGCACTGCTAAGTTTCTCTGAGGCTGCATTTTCTGTTCTGTAAGACAGAAACAATACTGTGTTCCCTATCCTGCAGCACTGTCGGGTAAATGGCTGGCATGGAGAAGGTTTCAGGAAATGTTCCACTCCCTCCCCCTTCTGTGCAGCTCCCCAAAGCATCACTGGGTCTGCACTCAATCTCCAATGGCTTTTCCCTCACACGATGTAGCACTTTGTTACAGCATTGTCTTTGATGCAAATACATACAGAGGATTGCCATTTATAGTCATTGCTTTTGCTTCAGTAGCTCTTTTCTTTGACTAGAACGTCAGCTCCTTGTGTACAGGGAACAGCCCTGGCCTCTCACTTGGCACAGGTATGGCCCATCGGAGTGGCCGGTGAGTCCTTGTTGAGATCCTGATGTATAGCTTGGCATGTGCAGTCCTTGTAAGATCTTTTTCCTGCTTGTTTGTTTGTCTCAAAGTAAAGAATGTGCCTAGAACAGTGCTTGGACACAGGAAAGGTTGAATGCGGTTTATGTGGTGGAATTCCACAGTCCTGCTTCTATGGTCTTTCCTAGTTGGCATTATTTCCCAGTTCTTGATCAGATATCACTTGTTTTAAATCTTCTCTGAATCCTCCATATTGTTGGATGCTTGGAACACAGGTCAACACCTCTTCTAGGATCCTTTCTTCCGCTGAATGTGAGGATGCAGGGGCACATCCACTGAAGGAATTAAGAACCCACACTGAGAAGCTGCCATTGTGGCCAAGCAGGTTAAGCCACCGCTTGGGTCACTTGCATCCTGTGTAAGAGTACTAGCTCCTCTACTTCTGATCTAGCTTCCTGCTCATGGGCCTGGGAAAGCAAAGGATTATGGCCCAAGTACTTGGGTCCCTGCCACCCCTTGGGAGACCCAGGTGGAGTTCTGAGCTCCTGCATTAGGCCTGGTTGGGGAGTGAACCAATAGATGTAAGTGTTCTCTCTCTCTCTCTCTCTCCCCCCTTCCCCCCATCCCGCCTTTTAAATAAATAAATCTTTTCAAAAAGGGAGAATCTCGCATTTGTTCTCACTAGCACAGTGACTTCCTTCAATACAGATGACTTGGTCCAACACCTTTTCCTTTCTTCCCGATCCTGAACTTATTCACCCATGAGAAACATGGCCACCATGGAAATAAACTGTTTTGTAACTGTTTGTGGCCGATGCTGTACAGGAAGATATGTTTCAGGAAATAATGTGGAGCAAAGGAGTGGATCTGGGTCTGGCTCTGCATCGTCACTGCTGTGTGTGACTGGCAGGTGGCTACCTCTAGGGACCCCAGTTTCCCTGGGTTGTTCCAGGCGATCTCTGAGTTATTTGGTTTTTTTTTTTTTTCCCAGCTTTCAGAACCTGTGGGCCCTTGGTCATGGGTTTGTCTGATTTCAGCCCACTGACAAGTAACTTCTATTATTGACATTTGTCGCACTCCAACTGGGTCCTTAGCTACATGCTTAAGCAGAGCTGGGAGAAGGAATTGGAGCTGAAGGGAGCTGGAGGAGTGAGATGCCCTTTATTTTCTGAATTTGTTCACCGGTGACATACAACCTAAAAAGAGACAACTTGTTTTCCTTGGCTCAGTGCCAGCTGAGATACCTGAGCCTTTCTTTTCTTTTCCTTTCCTTTCCTTTTCTTTTTTTTTTTTTTAAGATTTATTTATTTACTTGATAGGCAGAGTTACAGAGAGAGGGAGAGACAGAAAGAGAGGTCTTCCATCCACTGGTTCACTCCCCAAAGGCAGCCGCTCCAGCTGAGCTGATCCGAATCCAGGAGCCAGGAGCTTCTCCCGGGTCTCCCACATGGGTGCAGGGGCCCAAGGACTTGGGCCATCTCCTACTGCTTTCCCAGGCCATAGCAGAGAGCTGGATTGGAAGAGGAGCAGCCAGGACTGGAACCGGCGCCCATACGGGATGCTGGCGCTGCAGGTGGATGCTTTACCTGCTGTGCCACAGTGCGGACCCCTGTTCTTTTTGTGGAAAGAACGAAGAGATGAGTTTTGGCATCAGATGGAACTTCTCATCCTGACTCTGCCACATCCCGAGTCACAGAAATCGTATTCCATGGCTTCTCTGAGTCTTGGTTTCCTCATGTGTGAAATGCAGAGAACAGGTACCTTGGAGAGGTGGAAATTGGGATAATTAAATAAAACAAAAATAGGTGGCAAGGGCCAGGCGCAGAGCGGGTGCTCCCTTCTTGTTTGAGCGGAAGGGGCAGGCACTGGGGTCCTGAGCTGAGGGAGTGCCCTCCCTCTGGCCTTTGGAACCACCCTCTTCCTTTCAGGTGCCCCTTCTGGGTGCTGGGTGGCTGTGGCTGTGTGACCACGACTCCCCCACCCCCTCCCCTGCCAGGCTGGCTGGTGATCAGAGCTCTGAGCCACACATGGTAGAACTCCCGAGGGCTCGCGGTGTGCATGGCCACCCTGTTCTCTAACGATAGGAAAAGGATGGGGAAGGGGAAACTCCGCTGCTGCCCCAGGAAAGCCTCGGCCTGAGGACTCCAAGGAGGCTCAGCGGATGGGGCTGGCAGGAAAAGACTCCGGGAGGCAGTGCCCTGGTCCCTGGAGGGAGAGGGCAGGCCAGCCTCAGGCGGCGCTGGGGCGAAGGGCTGCAGCGGGACGGCCAGGAGGAGGGGGCGAGCGCGAGGAGGGACAGCAGGGACTGGAGGGAAGCAGAGTTTTCGGAAGAGAGCAAAGAGTCTGAGCGCAGGACAGACAGAGAGGGGAGGGAGGGTTCCAGAGGGGAAAGGGGGAGGAGAGAGCAAGAGGAGGAAGAAGTGGGAGGAGGGAGGGCGACGGACAGCGATTAAAAAGAGGGTGGAAGAGGAGCAACTGACAGGCTCAAGAGCAACAGGGGGCACTTGGAGAAGAGGCAGCCAGAGCGCGAGGAAGCCCAGGGCGACTGCAGGGAGGAGGAAGAGCAGCAGGTAAGGGTGAACTTGACTTCTAGGAGGTGAAGTGCGAACGCGCGCAGGAGAGAGGCTCGCACGGGCTGAAGCGCACTCTAGTTTCCTCTCGGTACCTGCGAGTTTGTCTCCCACCACTCTCGTGAGGTGGGGACGTAGCAAGGAGGAAAGGTTAGGGAAGCAGCCAGACTTAGGGAAGCGGCTGGTTTGCACGGAGCGGCCGCGACGCGCGCTGGGGGCCCGCGGGGTTGCCGTGCGCCCGGCGTGTCCTGGGAGCGCGTCGCCTGTCCACGTCCCAGAACGTTGATTAGGGAGAAATCGGCCCTTTGAAAACAGAACGCCAAGCCTGTCTTCCGATGCTGCTTCTAGGCGCTGGAGGGCTCTTCTGGATATGCCTTCTGCAGCATCTCGGGGAGTGTTGTGATTTTTTTTTTCTCCCGAAGGCATGTTGGAGGGTTTAAAAATACTCCCTGCTTAGTTTCCTGCCGGGGATCATGTCCCGCGTGCAGTGGCCGCAGGGAAGACAGCCAGGCTGCCACTCGCGGCGGAGCACCGGGAGAGGCACCCGCGCAGGGTCGCTCTGCCACCCACACGGGGCGGAGAGGCCTCCGCCAGCTCCTCGCCTGGCCTCTGAGCATGGGGTGAAGAACCCAGCCCCTGGGGTTGGGAGACCCAGGAGGCTGTGTGGCTGTGAACCTGACCTCTCCCTCTCTGAGGCTGTTTCCTCCCTGTAAAAGAGGGGTCTGAAGAGGAAGGAGCCCTCTGGGGCCAGTGAGCGCTAACACAGTGCCAGGCTGAGACTGCACAGGCGCAGAGGCCCCACGGAACCCTGAGAGCAGGATGCCGGGCGCCAGGGCTCCGGGCCTCGGTTGTCCCTCCACTCCGCTGGCAGTGTGGCCTGTCCTCGCGGAGGGATCCTGGTTTCTCCTGCTCTGCACGGGCACACAGGGTCCCTGGGCTGAGAGAGGGAAAGGCAGCACCAAGGGCGCTGGGCAGGGAGCAGGGACCCCTGAAACCCAGCTAAAGTGACCGGAGGCCGCAGAGCAGAGGCCTGGCCCTCGGTTTGCCTGGTGCTGGGGCTCAGAGCTGGGCACTCACACTGGCATTTAGAGGCATCCCCTGCCTGCCACTTCTCCTCCACTCGCTGTCCCAGAGTCGGAACCCAGCCGAGACCCTGCCTGATCCACGGCTCTCCCTGTTGGAACCTGCGCCTGTGGCCTGTCCCTCAGAGCCTTGTCCTCACTCAGCACTGCTAGGGAGGAGGCCCACAGACTGCCGTAGGCAGGGCAGAGATCGCTGGGGGCCGTGGGGTGGGCTGCTTCTCTGGCTTCTGACCCAGTACCCTCGGAGCAGCCCCTCACTGTCACGTGTCTACATGACGCTCACAGAGCCACAGCACCACAGCAGGCAGAGCCAGGCTGCCCCTCCGCTGCCCTGGAATCCCAGGGGTGTTCTTGCTGGGCTCCGGAAGCCGGTCACAGCTCTCGTCTCTGCTGCCCCACTTCTGTCCTCCGCCCTCCGACCCCCCTAGCTCCTAGCTCTGGCCTGAAGTCCTAGGGCGTTAGAACTGAAAGGGGTTTCTGGGTTTGCCACTCAGCCCTCTCCCTTGACTCAGAAGGAAACAAGGCCTAGAAAGGGAAAGTGATTTGCTGGAGGGGACAGCAGGTCAGGGCCGACTCGGTGGGGAGAACACCTGCTCTGCCCACTCATGCCTAGGGCTCTTCGATCTCCATCCCGAGCTGCCTTCCAGCCTCAGTGTCTCCCCAATTCTCCCCTTGGAGCATCTCTCCAGTCCTGTTTATCTCCATCCTCGTCATCTCTGCTGGCTAGCAAGGGACAGCAGCAGGGCTGCACAGGGCCACCTGGCCTCTTAGGTATGGCTGACACCCCCTACCCCAGCCCAGCCAGTGAGAATACGACAGAGGGCCTGTCGGTGTAGACAGGAACCGGAAGACCCGTAGCCTTCAGGGCCATGGGACCCCAGGGCCCGCCTTCCAGGGAAGGACTCCCACACTGGGATTCCAGCAGCTCTCTGTGTGAGTTAATCCCCTTGGGCTCAGCCCTGGCTTTTAGGTTGAGCTGGCCAAGGCAGGGAGGTGCCCATTTTCCTGGAAAACCTCCGGGCTCCTATGAAAGACTTCCTTTCTGAGGTTGGGAGCTGCTAGAGCATGGTGAGCGATAGCTGAACACTACTTTATGAATCAGTTTCTTCCCTGACATATTAGCAAATAATAGGCAGGGAAAATTCAGCATTCAGTAATTCACCCACTTTCATAAGTAAAGGCAGTTGGGAGGTCTCAGAATCAGAGGTTTTGAAATAGCACAGAGGACCTAGAGTTTATCTAATTCAAGGGTGGGGCGGAAGGAAGAGCCGGGGGATTGGGGTCACGTTTGGGTTCGATTTCTAACTGCATGACCTTGAGCAAATGATTTCTTCATCTGCCAAGGAAGTTCATAAGTATCTTCCTTGTAAGGGTTTATGAAGATTAAATCGAGTGTTGGAAATGGCTATCCCTTAGTAGGTGCTTGGAGAACAGCAGAATGAGGTAGAATCCAGGTCCTCTGGTCCCTGGCCAGGTCTATGGAGTACATCTCCTTGGATGGGGAGCCCTTTTGCGGTGAAGGCTCACCACGACAGGACTCTGGGAAGGTACTGTTTGCTTTTTATTACCAAAATTTCTCTTCCAACCTTTAGCTGGGAATCAGAAAAATCCGAACCTGACTCTGGACTTTACCACTAACTTGCCATACTCCCGAGATGGAAGGGCACAGACTCCTGAGACGTTCTAACTTAGAGCTGGGAGGGCCTTAGCAACCACCGAACTCAAGCCTTTTGTTTGATATGTGAGTTGAGCTGAGGCTCGGGTGGGGATCGGGGGACTGCCTTGTTTAGGACCACAGAGAAGCAGCTGGAGCCCCCAAAGAGCCCCTTGTGAAGTGATGCTGGGGCATTGTCACAGGTGACTTCCAGAATCTTATCTTGACCTGGAAACTCCATGGTGCAGAACTTCAGGCCATGGCAGCCATGGCTCAAGTGACCACCTCTGCCTTCTCCTGACAAGAGTCAAGGTGGCCCTTCCCCTGAGATCCCCGGGGAGACACCTCTCAGTTCCAAGCAGAACTGAGCCCGCTTTGACCCCTGTCTGTGGTGTGCTTTTGGCCTGGTGATCAGATTCAAATGTGCTGCAGCTCCTCGGGCTGGAGGAATCCTGTGAAATACACTTTGTCAGACAGGCTCCAGTGGAGTCTCGAGTTAAAGACACGTTAGAAGGCACACTGGACCCGCCACAGGCAGGAGAGGGGCCTGGCCCCGCAGTGCCCCCCCCCCCCCCCCCCCGCTTCTCCAGCCCTGCGCACAGGGTCTTACAGCCCAGGTGAACGAGTGTCTTCCCAGCTCTGACAGTCAGCCTCCTTCAAGGTCACCTGGGGGTCCTTACTGTGTCCTAGCCCGCTGCACTGTCGAAGTCTGCACCAAGTTGGCAGTCAGGGCAGGATACTGAGAATGTCAGAAAAGAAAGCGAGGAATTAGTGTGAGTATAATCAAGTGCCCGCCCTGTGCCACAGCCGGTTCTAGGTGCTCTCATCTGTCCGCATAGCCGTCAACCTCCGTGAGCAGGTGTTCCCGTTTCTCAGATGAGCTGGAAACTAGAGGTAAAGTGACTACATTCACACAACTAGGGGGTGAGGCAAACAGGGTCCTAGCCTTGCTGTTACTTAGCAACCAGGAGCCCTACCACCTAACCATTGCTCTTTCTGCCGTTCAGACTTCGAGGGGACACCAGAGCCTGCTGTTTGGCCAGCCCAGAACCCTGCGGTAGACACCGCCTCAGTCAAGAGCGCTTACTGGCTAAAAAAGGAAAGAATTTTCTATATGTGAATTCTGGCCAAATGGTGGCAGACGCTGAAGAGTCTGGGAATCCTGTCTGTGGTGGGCTGAGGGCTGAGCCCACCAATGCAGTGATTAATTCTAGGAACAGCATACACAAGAGATGGTCAGTCCAGAAGCCAGAAGCTACAGGGAGAAACCCAGGGCACCCAACAGGGCTAGGTAACGTGGGAAAGGCCCAGCTTGCCGTGCTGAGATTGGAGTTCCATTTGTTGTGAAGTCCAAGGTCTCCTTTTCTTTCCTTTTGCAGAGAACTTGGGCTTTGGTGTCAAGCTGACCAGGTTCAAGTCCATTATACACCATTTGCCAGTTTGAGGCTTTGTATGTTTCTTAACCTGCGAGCTGGAGTTTTCTCTTCTGTGAAATGCAATGCTACTGTTTTTCTAGCAGGGTTGATGGAAGAGTTACAAAGTACAGTGGTGGAGTGCTTCACACATACTCAACTTAGTGCTGGCTATTATTGTAATTGCTTAACTTCCCTGGATCCTGGGCATTTTGTGCACAAATAAGGAGCTGAGTGTGATTGATCTCTGCGTCTGTTTCAGCTCCACTATGCCGGGAATCTGTGACAACGTGGTAGGAGCAGGAGAGAAATGTGAGCATTGTCAAACAGAGAATTTTTCATTAATAATTCCATAGGTACAAATTGCTCTGCTTGGAGCAATCAGTAAGGACCTCCCAATATTTCCTCATAATTTAACATTTCCATTCACCACCTCTTCCCATCCACTCTGCAACTTTTTCGTCTTCCAATTTTTGCGGAAGGCAATTATTTATCCTAGCGTCATTCTCTTTCTCCACCTTGCCTGCTCCCTTCTACTCCTTGGCTTTGAAACAGCTGTCTGCCAGCAGCGTGTCTCTGAGTGGGCCAATCTGTCCTTGTCAGAATAAATAATTAAATGCAAAGAGGAGTTAATTATCTGCTGTTGGCTGGGTAGGAGGAAAACTAACGTGAGGACTTTATCTCTCCCATCTGGCTCTGTCTCCTCCCTCCTCTCCCCTCTGTAGGGAGTGACTGTTCGGGGATGCAGATCCCCAGGGACTTCTAATTTTGAGGAAGCTGCCCACACTGGCTGGCCCCATAGATACGGCTGTGTCATACACTCGCTGGGTCATGTCCCCCTGAGAGTAGAAAAGAGAGCACACCCTGAATGTGAGAAGTGTGAGAGCTGCGCCCCTGCCCCTGCCTTGCACACACAGCGCTCACGGTCAACCCCCAGCACTCACAGTTGTCTTATACCAAAGTGGCCTTGCACTGGCACTGGTTTGCCAAAGAAAGGAACTTTGGACAATTTAGGTAGTTCGGCCTCGCTGTTAAGTCAGGGGGTCACTGTTGGCTGAGCCAGGAGCCACGTTTGGCTCAGAGCCCTCTCTTGCCAGCAGTGAGACCTTAGTCCAGTTACTAGGGGAGCAGGGCTTGGGTGTTTGGGCCGTGGTCCAGCCGCTGCCTGGTCTGCCCACGTGCCGTGTCAGAGGGCCTGGGTTTGAGTAATCCACACTCTGGGAGGCAGCCGTGCGTGAGTCTCGGGTGGAGCTCCCAATCCTGATGTCAGCCTGGCCCAACCCCACTATGGCGGGCATCTGGGGAGTGAACCAGTGGATGGGAAATCTCTGTCTACGTCTGTCTGTCTGTCTTCCTCTCTCTGTCCATCTTTCAAATACATTTTTAAAAAGCAGGGGCAAGGGGTGAAAGTAGTTCCTACTTCCTCAGGTTGTGAGAACCAAATGAAAAATGTATAGAAAGAAACTTGCAGAGTGTCCGGCACATAAAAAGCCCTTAATAAGTGTTTACCCGTTATTTTTATCACCTGGACTTAAATTCTTTTTGTGTGTAACTCTGGTTAAACTAGAAGATGCAACTGAGGATCTCAAAACATAATAAAGATGACTGAATCGGCTAAGGATCAAGACAGACTTTTCTTTTTTAAAAGATTTATTTATTATTTATTTGAAAGGCAGAGAGAGAGGAGAGACAGAGAGAGGTCTTCCATCTGAGGGTTCACTCCCCAGTGGCTGCAACGGCCAGAGCTGGGCCAGTGTGAAGCCAGGAGCTTCTCCTGGGTATCCCACGTGGGTGCAGGAGCACAAGCACTTGGGCCATTTTTCACCGCTTTCCCAGGCACATTTCAGGGAGCTGGGTAGGAAGTGGAGCAGCCGGGGCTCGAACTGAGGCCCATATGGGATGCCAACATTGCAGGCAGCTGCTTTACCCGCTACACCACAGTGCCGGCCGTGGCAGACTTTTCACATAATTTTCCCCATATACCATTTTAGGGAGAAACTATGGAGGTGAGGGGAAATCATAAAAATGTCCACAAATGAGTAAGGTGCAAAGGAGTTCTGTGATGATGGCTATGGTTGGCACTTTGTGAAGCCACTTTTGCTGTCTGACATGCACAGGAGTTGAGTAAGCATCTTCAGACGGAAACCGAGCTGACATGGTTCTGTGTCTTACGCAGCCTTTAAGGAGGCCCTTTCACAACAGAACTCTCTTAGTTGGGAAGCACGTGCCACATTCCACTGTCTGGTGGACAGAGTGGCAGCGTGGGCCCAGGGGGCTGTGATTATTACTATGAATAACAACCTTGATTGAGAAGCAGAGATCTGTTAGATACCATCCAGAACATGTGTCATTGTCCAGAATTAGACTCAGACTCCCTGGAGTGGCCGGATAATCTAATTTTGATGAACTCAGATAAGTTTCCCAGAAACTTGAAGGCAGGAGGCGGCGAGGAATGGTGCCTAGTCAGACAGTGTGCGCTGTGTACCCTCCTGGTCCTGCTCAGGCCAAGTGGAGGGGAGGAAGCAAGATCTCCATGGCTCCTGTCACCATCATCCCTGGGCAGTTGCCCCTAGCCAGCTACCGAAGCCCATCTGCTGACATGCAGTGTGGCCCCCAAGGCTTGCTCACCCTCTGTGCAAGCGCTCTGTGCAAGCACCCACCACTTCGGTGTTTTGAGGGGCACGTGGCGCCTGCAGACCAGTTTGCATGGCAGCCATTGCCAAAGCGCTGGTGTAAGCATGAGTTTTACCAATTGCACAGTGCTTCAGGGCTGCCACCCCGTTTAGAGGCTGTCAGTTTAAGGTCTGCCTTCAGGAGCAAGTCACAGCCTGAGCATGGTTCATGAGGGCTGGGAACAACTCCAGAGTCCTAAGCTTGGCCCCCCCCATTCTGGGCACTGAGCTCTCAAACCACAGTTTCTCGTCTTAGTAAGTTGGCTCACACAGTGCCTTTGTCTGAAATTCTCTCATCTCTTGCACATCTCCTCTGTCCTGCACCCCGAAAACATCATCGCGGCACATGTACCTAACTCCTAGTCAAGGGTTGTCTGCTCTGGGAAGTCCTCTCTACCCACCCACCGCCACCTCTGGCTGAGGTCAGCGTTCTCACGTGCGTTTGCATGGCATCCTGCATTTGCGTCTATCCTGGGACTCACCACGTTTGCTTGTGTTTGTATCCCCCACAGGCACTGAGTGTCTTCATATGGTCCTTGGGTTCCTGATTTTCAGCACAGCACTAGCATAAAAGGATGCCCAGGAAAGCATTTATAAAAACTGAGCTGAATTAGACTTTTTCCTATACTTTTTCTCAACACTCCACATGGTGCAGGTAACACGAAGGGAGCAAATAAATATCTGCTTGATTGTATAAAAGCTGATCCCAGGCCTTATCACTAAACGGCACAGTCATGTCTCAAATCACTCAATACCCCTGGTTAGCGGAGCTTTTGAAGTTCAAGTGCAGAGACCGAAGCATTGATGAGCTGCACGTCGGAGGGGAGGTGGAGAGGATCTTTCTGGCAAGTTTGATCGGAAACTTTGGATGGAAGCCCTGCTTCTGCCCCCAGCAGTCTTCCTTTCTTTGAACAAGTGGTCTCTGTAGGCTTCCTTCTCTACTCAACAGAGGGAAACACAACCGCTGGTTGTGGTCATACGGAGTCTTCCATCAGCAGTAAGAAGTGAATGCCTATAACATTCTGAAGGTTCTTGATATTGGACACAGCAAATGTGGTACTGCCCTCTTGGAGCCAACAGGGCAATGTAAGAGAAGCACATTTTTTTTTTTAACAGTGTAAAGTTTCATTTTTATCTATTGTCAGGGCTTTTTAGTTTTTACAAATGTAGTAGAGATTGGCCAGAGTTGTAGAGTTACTGGTAAAGTTGCTGCCTGCGTCACTGGCATGCCATATGAGTGCTGAGAAAGCATTTATTATATACCTGTGAGAAAATCTAATGCCATAAGAATACAAAGTATTTTTTAAACAAATAAAGTAGTTTTGATTTTTGAGTTTTCCACTCCTTTGAGGGAAGAAGCCATTAAGTCTTTGAGGGAAGGAATTATGACTAGTTTTATTAATTTAATGGATGTCATTGAGTGCTAATATTTGTCAGGCCTGCCATCTCTCGAGGCTTGCTCTCAGTCCTCAGAGCAGTGGTAGGCACATAGTAGGGACTTTCAGGTTGTTGAGGGACTAGAAACTTTGGGAGAACAAGCTGAATGCAGCACATAGCCAAGTGTGAGGAGGCATCCTCCACGCTCGAGGCCAGTTTAGAGCATCTCAGGGGGTATCCAGTAGGGCTGAGGTCCCTTGCATGCTGCATCCATGGAAGAGTCGGAGGAAGAGGTTTGGGCTATGAGTTTAGGACTAATTCAGGTTCTCTGAGATGGTTCTCTTTGGGAAAGGTCAGCTGTGCAGGCGGCCCACGATGTCCACACAAGGGGCAGCACCGAGTCGGGAGTGCAGACACCCGAACGTCACTCCTAGCTCTCTGATACTGGAAGTAAAGGCACGAAGGGTTTGTGCTCACTGTACGTAAAACCCCTCCCTGTCCCGTCCCCTTTTACCCAAGCCCCGTGTTGCTATTACTGAATAACTTCCCCAGGGGCCCTTCAAAAAACTGCTTCGTCTGCAGATAAGACACACTGTAGAGGACATTGAAGGTTTGGGCAAGAAGAACCTTAATAGTCAGGCTGTCCTCCTCACGTGCAAGGGACCATCCCAGATGGCCTTGGAGACCTGGGGATTTGGATCAGTTGTAGAAGGCTATGCCCCCAAGTCCCCAGGGCCCCTTGGAACACCCTATTCTAACAAAGCCCTCTCCCAGCCTAGAAAATTTGACTCAGGCTCCTGCCACCCACTCCCACAGCACCTTATGGGCACTTCCTGAACGTTAAAACACCCGCTTCCTTGAAATTACATGTCGAATGTCTCCTTTCCATTATGGGAAATCGAGGCAGAGCTAAACTCAGGAGAGGCGGGGGATTCTTCTCGGTTGTCCCCCTCCTTCCTGCTCTCTCCTCAGTGCCTAGCGTGCTGCTCAGCACCTCGTAGCCACTCAATAAACTTATTCATGAATGGGTGAGTCACTAGAGGATATTCTCACCAGGACAGAGAGGTGAGAAATTGTGGGACGTGTAGGGGAGTTGTGTAGCTTCGGGGCTGAGGGCGCGAGGGGCACAGTGAAGAAAAGGCAGGGTGAGGCTGTGCCATGGAGGGCCCCAAGAAGCAAGGCTGACAGTTCGGACTTTCTAAGCAGGAGGAAGCCAGCAAAGACTACAGCTTCAGCAGAGAGGTAAACGTCCATTGTAATCGGTAGAATTTATTCGTGGCATAGGCAGCTTCCTTTGCCCCTCCTAATACACTTCCTGCCAAGAAACGCATAATAAACGACAAAGCATTGTCTATGCCACACACCCAGTAAAGTCACCGAGTATCTTATCTACAAATTTCTTTGGCCGGGGTTGTAGAGGACCCAAGGGAAGCCAATGTGGCTGGAAAACTGACTCGAGCCAGGATGCTTTCGTGTTAGAACCTGAGCGGCTGGCACATGGTAGCGATGTCCAGTTTCTCTGACCTTGCTTGAAGGTCAGCAGGGAGGGGTCCTGTACCCCAACTCCTCTGCCAAGCCCTGGCTTTCTGGTTTTCCAAGGAGTTTCTCTCTTGAACCTGTGCCTTCCCTCTTCCAGGAGGGAGTCCCTGGACTACGAGTGAGGGAGTCAGCACTCAGGCCTCTTGGCAGACCAGACCAAGGCACCATATGCTTTGCCGGGAACTATTTTTACACTTCCTTGGGGATTTGCTAGGAATGAGTGACAGAGAGTGAGAGGGTCAGGGGAAGTGCTCAGGAAGTGCGTCTGTGAGCTCGTCCCGATCCTGGGTGATTTTCTGGTTTCCATTCCCGTTTTCATTCTCCTCTCATTTCCTCCCGTTCAGCTGTCCCCTCCCATGTTTCTTTTCTCATTTTTAACGCACTTTTCTCCACTTCCTATGTTCCCTTCTCCTTGCCCTCTTCTTTCATTCTCCCCGTCGCGTGCTTTGCTCGCAATAGCTACCTTTTATGCAGTTCTTGTATGCTGAGCTCTACCCATCACCCCGTAGCCTCCAGGAGTGAACTCGCAGTGTCTCCACCGTGCAGATGAGCAAAGGGAAACACAGACTGAAGAACTCATCCGAGCTCAGCAGACAGTAACAGGGATTTGAACTCCGGGTACCTAACTCCCATGCCTGTCTTCTCTTAGCCATCGCATGGCTGCTTTTTCTGCATTTCCACTTCCCCCTTGCCAGCGGCCTTTTGTGCTGCCTGTCTTTCCCTCCCTTCCTCTCACTCACCACCGTCCAGTCACAGCATGCCTGTGGCTGGCTCTGAAGGTGCTGAACACTGTGCACGCGCCCAGAAGAGAGGACAGACCATCCAAGCACTTATCTAATCAGCCATTTTCCTTTCGAGCAAGTGCTCCACGATTTTCCACATTTGGGGGCTGGAGGAAGGGCCCCGTCACCACCTGAGGAAAAGAGGCAGATGCCCGATCACCAAGCAGAGGAAGGACCTGCAGCCCTGGCTGGGCCTTTGATACAGAGAGGAACGGAGATAAGTCCCTTTCCGCTGACTCAGGGGCTCTCTGCATACTGTCAGGGTTGGGGGTTGGGGACTGGGAGAAGACAGAGCCAAGAGGCTGGTTTCTGTCAAAGAATCAGGTCCGCAGCCAAGGAAGCCTGAGCTATGAAATGCAGCTCTCCACCCTGTCTTTTCCCATAAGCGTAAAGAACGTTGCAGTAGGAACCAGGAGCATGTTGGCAGCACAGATATGAAGGTCAAAGTTTGAACTTGGCAACCTGCAAGGTCTCATGCAAATCTGAGGTTCTTTGATGCTAAGAAGGGAACATTTCTGTTCAGTTCCCTCCTACCTCTTGGCCATCCTGTTGGTTACGATCAGTTGAGAGGTTTAAACTCTAAGGCCACTTGTTCGCCAAGGAAGTCGGAAGTAGGAGATTCAAGAGTTGATTCAGGACATGGGCTGGCATTTGGGAGACTCTCTTCAAAGCTTCAGAAACCTTGGCCCACCCCACCTTGCCCACAGGCAGGAAGTGGGGGTGGGGGGACTGTGAGGGAGGCTCCCTCTATTTGCTGGGGGATGGAAAACCCCTCGCAGAGCCCTCTCCATGTTACACCCTCCCCATTCCTCACTGACCAGAACTTAGTGCAGTGAAGACTAAAAACCAGAATCACCTGGTCTTTCCACCCTGCTAGCAGGAGGCAGGCAAGGAAGCAGCAATTGGTTTGCCACTGGGTGGGAAGCACCAGTGCCTGCCGCCTCCTCCTGGGCCAGGATCTGCTGATACAGAAGAAAAGGCAGTCACTGGTCTCAAGCGGTTCCTACTGGGAGAACAGGGAGGCAGAGGACGACAATACCTGGTGGCCAAATGCTGAGAGAGGGATGGGCGTCCCCAGGATCCTCAAGGGGGCTAAGGCCCAGCTTGACGGGGTAGGGAGAGCTAGAGGGAGGAATGGATGAATTGAGATTTTATTTATTTATTGGAGCGGCAAAGAGAAGAAGACAGAGAGAGTGGGAACTTCCATCTGCCACTCCCCAAACGCCCGCAACAGCCCTGGGGCATTAAAGCCAGGAGCTGAGAACTCAATGCAGGTCTCCCACGTGGGTGGGTGGCAGAAATCCAGCTAGCTGAGCCATCACTGCTGCCTCCTAGGGTCTGCATTAGCAGGAAGCGGGAGTCAGGACTGGAGCCTGGCGCTGAGCTCAGGCACTCTGACGTGAATTGTAGGTATCCCACCTGGTAGATTAACTGTAGAACAAATATTTCCCTCCACCCCCTGTTTTTCAATTTGAGAAGCAAGAGGCAGGGACACACACAGACACACGCACAGAGGCACACACACATCCAGTTAGAGGGAGGGGCAGGTAAGAGGTAATTGGTGGGAGGGCATTTGTGCCAGGAGTGGCATTGAGATGATGCTGGAGAAGCCAGGGAGGGAGGATTTGGCAGGGACTTACAGGATTAGGGCGATTGTTCTGGATTGTGTGTGGGTACGTCTACAGGCAGGGCAGTGTGTGGGCAGCAGAGCTGTGTGGCTGGGGCGGCTGCACTGCACTGGGTTTACCAGCTGGAGGAAGCTGTTCCTCTGTGATATCTTTAGCTGGTGGGACTGAAGTTCAGTTTTTCAGTTCATCACCTGCCAATGCAGCAGGTGGATGTTGGGTGGTTCCGATCACTGCAGAGCAGTTCCTGAGGGTCCCAGTGTGCCCATCCCACTCCCACTCCTTCTTCCTCCACCGAGTTATGCCCTCTGGAGCCATAGAACTTCCTTCTTCATGGGACAGCATTCAAACATTTACGGTAACAATTTTCAGGGTTTCACATACCTCGTCTCATTTGGTGCCCTCAGTCCTCTGATGTGGTTACTCCCACCCCATTTGACAGATGAGAAATGACACTCAATGAGATGGATGTCCAGAGTCACGTGTGCAGATCCCAATCCTGCCTTTCTCCAGGTGTGGTTGCATCAGAAACACCACAACAGCTTCTTGCAAATCCTGACTCCTGGCGGTCACCGCGGACCTTCTGAAGTGGAATCTCAGGAGGAAAAGCGCAGAAGTCCCCCTGTAACACACGGCACAGTTGCTGTGTAGGGGCCATGTCCTCGTCTTGCTGATAAAAGCATGACCGCTTTGAGTCTTCTCTTCCTTTTAATTTTTACTTGGGGTGGGGGAAGCTTTTTGGGCAAATTTGGTTTCAAAGTCACATTTTCTTTTTTAAAAAACAGTAATTAATTCATTCATTGAAAGACAGAGAGTGGGGGAGAAATCTTCCATTTGCTCATTTACTCCCCAATACCTGCAACACCCAGGGCTGGGCCAGGCTGAAGCCAGGAGCCAAGGGCTCCATCCGGGTCTCCCATAGTGGGTGGCAGGGACCCGAGTACTTGGGCCACCATCCTCTGCCTTCTGAGGTGCATTAGCAGGAACCTGGACTGGTAGTGGAGCAGCCAGATGCCATATGGGATACCAGAGTTGCAGGCAGAAGCTCAACCCCCCTGTGCCACAATGCGAGCCCTGAAGTCGCACTTTCTTAAGGAAAGCATTGGTATGGATCAATGCCCGGTGCACTGTGGGACCGACGCATGGTAGGACATCCAGGTATCTGCAGACACATCTCTTTTTCTCTCTTTCTCCCCTGGGTGCAGAAGTGTTGGTGACTGTTCCCCGGCTCCGCCAAGATGGGCGACTGGAGCTTCCTGGGAGAGTTCCTGGAGGAAGTGCACAAGCACTCCACGGTGATCGGCAAGGTCTGGCTCACGGTCCTCTTCATATTCCGCATGCTGGTGCTGGGCACCGCGGCTGAGTCTTCCTGGGGGGATGAGCAGTCGGATTTCCAGTGCGACACGATCCAGCCCGGCTGTGAGAACGTCTGCTACGACCAAGCCTTCCCCATCTCCCACATCCGCTACTGGGTGCTACAGATCATCTTCGTCTCCACGCCGTCCCTGGTGTACATGGGCCACGCCATGCACACGGTGCGCATGCAGGAGAAGCGCAAGATGCGCGAGGCCGAGACGGGCAAGGAGGTGCAGGGGGCCGGCTCTTATGAGTACCCGGCAGCCGAGAAGGCGGAGCTGTCCCGCTGGGAGGAAGTGAACGGCAGGATCCTGCTCCGGGGCACTCTGCTCAGAACCTACGTCTGCAGCATTGTCATCCGCACCACGGTGGAGGTGGCCTTCATCGTGGGCCAGTACCTGCTCTACGGGATCTTCCTGCACACCCTGCACGTGTGCCGCAGGAGCCCCTGCCCGCACCCCGTCAACTGCTACGTCTCCCGGCCCACGGAGAAGAACGTCTTCATTGTCTTCATGCTGGCCGTGGCCGGACTGTCCCTCTTCCTTAGTCTGGCTGAACTCTACCACCTGGGCTGGAAGAAGATCGGACAGCGACTGGCCAGGTCGCCGCAGAGCTCGGCGGAGCCCCGCCTGCCTGGCCCCTCGGCGGGCACAGCCCAGAGCTGCACGCCTCCGCCTGACTTCACTCAGTGCTTGGAGAATGGCCCTGGGGGGAGGTTCTTCAGCACGTTCAGCACCAACACGGCCTCCCAGCAGAACACAGACAACCTGGCCACAGAGAGGGTGCGAGGCCGGGAGCAGGTGCCGGGGGAGGGCTTCATCCACATCCGCTACGACCAGAAGCCCGATGTGCCCGATGGTGTCTCACCAGGCCACCCCAACCCTCATGGCTACCAAAGTGACAAGCGGCGTCTTAGCAAGGCCAGCAGTAAGGCCAGGTCAGATGACCTGTCAGTGTGACCTTCCACTGTGCGAGGACCACAATCTGCCGGGAGCAAAGGGGTCTCGGAAGGGGAAAGGGTGGCCCTTCTCAGCCTATGCTCTCACCCTCTTCCCTGCTCTGCTCCTTGGGCCTTGGCTCTCAGTGGCATTCCTCCATACCTCCAGAGGGTGTGACCGGGGCTCCAAGCTGTACCCAGAGATAAGCTACGCCCTTGGCTCCCGTCCCTCCCATCACCTAGCCAGGGTACCCAGTGAAGCCTTTCAGATCATTCACTGAGCAGGGTGGTGGAAGGGGAGGGAAACATGGCCGGATCTGCCCTGGGAGGGAGAACCAGGGGCACAGAACACCAGCAACATGCCAGGGACATATAGCAGACGGGGTCCCCAAGACCCCCCTGGCTACCTTGACCTCATCACCCCTCCTCTCCCAAGGAAGAGCCCAGCGAATCAACACATGTGCTCAGGAACCTGTAATCTCCATGGGCCACTGCTTAGAGTGCTGGTGAGGTGGCCTTGGGCTGCCCTTGGCCGTCCCGCCCTCTACCCGGTCTTCAAAAGGGATCCTTGGAACTTGCCCAGCAGCCTCGATTTTACAAGTGCCTTGGCATGGACCGCTGGCAAATGTCCCAGCTTGGTGGTGTTGCAGCCTTGCCTTCAGCCAGGGTGCACACCCGGTCCGGGGCCGGGGAGGGGGGTGCCAGCTCCTCTAGGGAGTCACTGTACACACAGACTCCACAGGAACTCCGGCCACCACCTGCCATCCTGCAGCTCTGTTACAGTTCCACCCAATAATAGAAACCATCCCCGCCCTTCCTCCCTCGGCCGTTCCTGCAGTTCTGTCCTACAGACCTTATCGATAGCGTGCCCAGGAAGCCATCGTCGTCGCTCGGGTCCTGACCAGAAGATCCCAGCCGCTGGGGCCAGTGGAATTTCCCCAGGTCTTATTAGAACAAAGCAAACATTGTGCTTCTCACAACCCCCTCGGGAAAAAATAAATCTGCTGTGAAGATGGAAATAAAACAGGAGAGAAAACACTGGAAAACTATTTTTGTTTCCTATTCATTTCCCTTGCTCGCTGCCAACCTAGAGTGCCAAGAAGGGGGGTGATGACAGGTCTGGAGACCCCCACAGTTCTCTTTCCCTGGAGGCTTTAGCAGGGGCCTGGAAGCAGCAGGGGGGTCTCCTACTCTCTTGGCAGGTGCTTACTTAAAGAGCACAGAGCCTTAGGTCTCCCTGGTGCCCCAGTGAGACTGGCGAGTGGGGCGCCTTCCCCTCGGACTCGGCTGATGTCTCTGTTCAGTGGTCCCTTCATGGGTGGCTGCCTTTCCAGATGCAGGTAGAGGATGCTCAGAACTGGATGCTGAGACTTAACAGAAAGATTGATTTAAAAAAAAATGTAATGCATGCGTGTGTGGTGCACGTGCAAATGGGTAAAGGGGAGGGGAATCCTGCAATACGGGAAGAGAAATGTGTCTTCTTGTCCTCTCCTCCAGCCATGTCGGAGGGGCTGGGCCTCGCTGTCACGGTGTCATCAGCTAAACGGATAGGAATGAAGGGTAGGGACAGGGGTGGGGGGCTCAGAGAAGCCTCCCTCCTGTTCCACCTGCTCGTCGCAGGTCCCTCTGCTGATATTTACAAGCCCTTGGTGGGTGCCCAGAGGGAGGAGAGTGAAGACATGGAGGAGACTGCCTGGGATACCATTTAGGATGGCCGGTCATCCCAGGTCCCTGGACGGGACACCTTCCATCTGTCGCCTGGTACCAGCATCAAGATCCTCTCTCCTTCCATCTCTGAAATGTGCTTATTGTGCAATGAGTGTTCTTGAATTATAAACTCGACGAGATCAATCCTTGATGGTGAGGCTTTCAGAAAAGAGAAAGGAAGTGATATGTGTGATTTGTCTTAATAAAATTAATCTCTACATCCATCCCTCTGTTGTGTCCTAATCATACTGCAACTGTAAGAGGAGGATGGCATTTTTTCACCTTATATACATTAAAAAAGAAAAAAAAAGAGGAGGATGGAAGACTTGGGGCGGGGGAGGGGAGCACTTGGCCCACACCCCTCCAACGGCTGGTAATGTACAGAGCACTGCAGGCAGATATCCGGCATTGCAAACCAGGGCTGGTTTCCATCTGTAATTCAACTTAGTATCAAATTGCAGGCTGCTTACTCTCCAAGGCTTGGTTTCCTCATCTGCAAATTGGGCCTACAAGCATCTACCTTACAAGAAAGACTATTTAAAAATGTTCAGTAGAGGGGCCGGCACTGTGGCTCAATGGGTTAACGCCCTGGCCTGAAGTGCCAGCATCCCATATGGGCGCCAGTTCTAGTCCCGGCTGCTCCTCTTCTGATCCAGCTCTCTGCTATGGCCTGGGAAAGCAGTAGAAGTTGTTGGGCCCCTGCACCTGGATGGGAGACCGGAAAGAAGCTCCTGGCTTCTGGCTTCGGATTGGCTCAGCTGCGGCCATTGGAGGCCATCTGGGGAGTAAACCAGCAGTTGGAAGACCTCTCTTTCTGTCTCTACCTGTCTCTGTAACTCTGTCTTTCAAATAAATAAAATAAGTCTTTAAAAAAAAAACATTCAGTAGGGTGCTTGAAGGATTGCAGTCATGAGATGGCAATTGTTGCTATGATCTTTATTACTTTTGTTCTTATTTGGAACACATAGTATTTGGAAACCTGGGATATAGAGAGATGATTCTGGAACTTCCCCTTGTAGAGTTCACAATCTACTTATGATAGTCAAATTAATTCACATGAAAGGAACAATTAGAATAGAATTAAATAGGAATTAATTTATTAACTCTAAGAACCATTAGGCTCTGGGAAGTGATACATATTGGTGGGGTTGGGAGGGACGACATAGAGAGCAGTGTCCTGACCTGGCCCTTAAACAGTGGCCAAGGTTGTAGGGAAGAGGAGACCTCAGGATGATTGGGTGAAATCGGTTTCCGCACCCCCATTTTACAGACATGCAAGCTGAGGTCCGGGAAGCCTCTCTGACATTGCACTGGCTTCTCACGCATCTCTTGGATTGTGATCACATCTCGGGAGAAGAGGAGGAATGATTCTTGCTCCAAACAAAGGGTCCAGGGACCACCAGTCCTTCATCAACCAATGAGCACAATTTCCAAGAGAAAGAAACAAAGGCCCGGGAAACCAGACAGAAGTGCTCTGACCCACCAACCAGTCTTGTCTATGAGGGTGGGAACCCAACAGGGGTGTGAAGAGAGGACAGAGCATGTCTCAGGTGACGGGGCCAGCGTGGACTCAGGAGTGCCCCTAGCGCCTGCGCAAGGCTGCGGTGCTCAACCGAGAGGCCCAGGGAGTCCAGCTGGAAAATTCATCCAGGACCCCCTTTTTTTTTTTTTTGCTCCTAGAAGAAGGGAAGCCCATCTCATAGTTGTAGGAACACAGCCATAACATCAAACAGCTTATATTACACCCAGCGCCCAAAAGCCAAGAGAATCATTTTATAGTAAGATTTCTCTTTTTTGAAAGATTTATTTACTTATTTATTTGTAAGTCAGAGTTACATAGAGAGAGAAGGAGAGGCAGAGAGAGAGAGAGAGAGAGAGTCTTCCATCCGCTGGTTCACTCCCCAATTGGCCGCAACAGCCAGAGCTGCGCTGATCCGAAGCCAGGAGTCAGGAGCTTCTTCTGGGTCTCCCATGCAGGTGCAGGGGCCCAAGCACTTGGGCCATCTTCTACTGCTTTTTCAGGCCATAGCAGAGAGCCGGATCAGAAGTGGAGCAGCCAAGTCTCGAACCAGCGCCCATATGGGATGCCAGTGCTTCAGGCCAGGGCGTTAACCCGCTGTGCCACAGCGCCTATCCTATAGTAAAATTTCAACCCATATATCTCCATGCTCATTTTCTATCCCAACCCTCCCCCCCCTTCCTCAAAGGTTTATCACTCAAGAGCACACACTGGTGGCTAACATAGTGACCACACTCGCAGAACCGTTTCCTGAATTTCCTTCCCTGGGTGTTGAATACGACCAGAATTTTTATCACTCATGTTTCATCCCAATGGCTGAAGTGTTTAAGTGCCCAGTGCTACGCTGCTCTGAAGAATCACAGCATAAATGAGTTTCCGATGATTTTTTTCCTCTGATAACTAATTCTGATAGCAGAGAGAGAGAGAACAAGGGCACTGGGCACCCTGGCGGTGTCTTGCAGGATTGCATCCATGAGGTGGAAATGAGAACAGTGAGGCAGGAAGGGGCTAGCCAAGACAAGCTGCCTCCCCCCACAGCTGTCAGTAGACCCCTGGGACCCCTGCCGGTGGTCCCTGTATTGAACCGGCAGAAAACAGAATCTTCAGATAACAGATATGTCAATAGAAGAGGACGAGTGGCTTTTCCTGGTGGTCATCAGAGATGGGTGAGGGCTGTAGGCTTTTGTCACCATTTCAACTGGAGAAGAGAGAAGCTGTCATTCACCACCCTCACAGTGAGGAGTTGTCTGGAGCTGGGCATCAGGTTAGGCTTCCAGAAGACAACTTGGTAAACCAGCTGCAGCTTGCAGCCTAGTAGGGGTGGCCTTTGGGGAGAAGCAAACAGTAAAATGATCACAAATTGCGAGAAGGAATAGAAAGAAACAGGGCCTACCAATGGTGGGGGAGGACCCTTCTTCAGACAAGGTATGCAGGGAGTCCTTTTAAAGGAGGTGACACCGAAGTTGAGATCTGGCCCTGAGAAACCAGCAGCTGACCAGGAAGGAGGGAGCTGGGGAGGGGGAGAAGCCGAGTTCCCTCCAGGAAACCCAGAATCCAGCTGTCTCTACTGCATTCCGACCCACTGGCTTGGAAGTCTGGACCAGAAGTCTGGACAGGTGTTGTGCAGTTAAGCCACTGATGAGACGTCGGCCCTCCATATGCACTCAGGTTAGAGCCCTGGCTGCTCTACTTTGGATCTGGCTCCCTACTAATGCATCTGGGAAAGTAGACGGCCTAAGTACCTGGGCCACTGTTACCCATGTGGGAGATCCAGAGGGAGTTCTGGGCTCCCAGCTTCACTGGGCCCAACCCCAGCCATTTCAGTCATTTGGGAAGTGAACCAACAGATGGAAGATCTCTTCCTCTCTGTCTCTCCCTCTCTCTGTCACTCTGCCTTTCAAATAAGTAACAAGAAACTAAGGGAAGGAGGAAGGGAAGGAGGGAGGGAGGGAGGGAAGAAGGAAGGAAGGAAGGAAGGAAGGAAGGAAGGAAGGAAGGAAGGAAGGAAAGAAAGAAGGAAGGAAGGAAGGAAGGAAGGGAAAAAGGAAGGGAGAAAGGAAGAGAAGATAGATGGAGCCAGCACTGTGGCACAGTGGGTTAAAGACCTGGACTGCTGCACTGGCATCTCATATGGATCCCAGGTTCGAGTCCTGGCTGCCCCGCTTCTGATCCATCTCTCTGCTTATGCACCTGGGAAAGCAGTAGAGGATGGCCCAAGTCCTTGGGCCCCTGCACCCATGTGGGAGACCCGGAAGAAGCTCCTGGCTCCTGGCTCCTGGCTTTGGCCTGGCCTAGCCCCAGTCATTGCAGCCATTTGAGGAGTGAACCAGCAGATGGAAGACCTCCTTTCTCTCTGTTTCTACCTCTTTCTGTAACTCTACCTTTCAAATAAATAAAATAAATCTTTTTAAAAAAGAAAGGAAAACACGGAATTCAAGCAGCACCTAAACAACACCGCTTGGCAGCAACTAGTGCAAACACACATACCTCTTTCTGTGCAAACATGCAGGGTTCTTTTCAGTCAAAGATACAGGAAGAACATGCACAAAGTGTCTCAATTAAATCAAATACCCATCATACGTTAAACTCTAAAAACCTGCATTTGACATTGCAACTGTTGTTTCCACCAGTATCAATTCTTTATAACACACTTGATGCTTTGGAACCAGGCCCACTCCCCAGGGTAAGGATGACAAAGGAATGTGGGGTGATTGAGGTCAGAGCTAGCTGTAGGCCTGGAAAGGAGGCCAGAGAGGCAGGTGTTTGGTGCAGTGGTTAGGATGCTACTTGGGATACCTGCATCTCATATTGGAGTGCCTGGGT